AGGGGGGGGGGGGGGGGGGGGGGGGGGGGATTCTTCCATACGAAGGCACGAAGGAATCTTTCTCGAAGAACTTCTGACCCTTCCAAGATGGAGCCGGATCGGGCAGCCTCCACGAACCACCGAGTTACCGTCCCCACGCACTAATTATCGCAACTGCCGAATCTCATCTCCCGGATTGCATCGCAAACGACACCTCCGAGGGACGGGCGATCGCTTTTGCCGCGGGAGCGATCGACACGAGTGCCGGAACTCGTGCGGTCGAACCGCCGGGACGGACGGCGGTGTGAAGGTTTCGTGCCAAAGGACGCATCGACTTCTGAGCCCCGAGAGCGAAGGTCCCAGCAAGTGCTGGAATATCCTTCGAGACTACCAAAACCTCTCGTGCGCGACAGCCATATTAATTCACAAAAATTTGAGCACACAACTCGTGTACATGTACATCCCCCCCCCCCCCCCCCCCCCCCCCCCCCCNCCTAGGCCTACGAAATTAGTCCCCCTTAATATTTGTCCCCAGGACATGTACACCCCCCCCCCCCCCCCCTCCCCTCTTTGAGCTTTCGAACGGGATTAGCATCGTGGCGGATGAAAGCAAGCCTCCAGCCGAACGATAACATTGGATGTTTCATCCCCCAAAGATCCTCTTATTCCAAACCGCCGAACGCATTCGTTCCCCGCCGACGCATGCAATCGTTTCATCTTCCTTCTTTTTCTCCTTCCAGGTTTTCGGCGTGCTCCTGTTCATCCTCTCCATCGCCTACATGTACCTGTTCACCTCTCCTCATCATTTCGTCCGTACGTCTCGTTCTCCTTCCCTCCGACCGACCCGTCCGCCGGAGACGGTCGTGACACGAATCCGTCACATCCGGTTACTTTTTCTCGAGGAAATCGTTTCACGAGCTCGGCTTTCTCCGTTACGAGAACCGAGGAGAGGAGGGAAAAAAAAAAATCACTCGTCCCGGTCTTCTTCCGAAAGGCACGATAGCCCGTAGTCGTTATTCATTCCCGGCCGATTAGAAAGGCGACTTTTATGTTCATTTCGTCGCGTGAGAAAGAGTGAGCCTTTCCTGCCCCCGGGGGGCATCAAAGAGAATGAATCACTGCGGACGGGCATGTACGACCGTGGATGTCGACGGACGACAGCGGATGGCGATGGATTTGTTGATCCTCCCGCGACGAACAAGGGGGGAGAGGGGACGCGGATGTCGCGGTGATGGCACGGATCCCGGTCCCGGCGGTGGGGCATCTGGGTCGAGCACGTGTATTCTTCTGCGTGTTTATTTTGTTAGGATATGACAACTACGAAGGCCATGAGTAAACCTTGCCTGGTTGCCGTGAGAAGAGAGCGTCGCTCGTGAGGATGAACGATGCCTCCATGAAGACTGTAAAAAGTGGATTTATAAATAAACATTCGGCTATGTTTAAATATATATATATTTAAGAAACGTTCGGTGGATGCAGTAGGTCTGAGTGCGTCGCAGGGAAAGGGTAAAACACCCGAGTATTTCTCACAGGCATGCACTAGCTTAATTGACCTGTAACAGTCTCGGGGATCGCGAATTCGTTTCTTCCGTGGGAAAAAACAGGAACGTGCGAAAAATCTGCGCGCTGTTCCTCGAACGCTCGTTATCGATGAAGCGACTGCAGCGAACGCCGATGAGGTGTCGCCGCGGTCGTGTATGAGTTTCGGGTCGACGGAAGTCGCAGTCGTGCATACGTTCGGCATTGAGGTGCGTCCTTCACATGCACGAGGATTGCGATATTTCTGCACTGTAAAATTCGTTTCGAGAGAAGAGAAACCGTGACGCAACGCCCTGATAGGCTCCCATCGGAACGCTGTACGAGCATGCATTTCGGGTACCGGCATTTTGTACCGCTTATGGCGCAATGAGGTCGTTGCGACACGATTTCTCGCTTTTTTTTGTAACCCTTTATGTTCGTATGACCATGCAATCGAATTTGCCTATTTTATGGTCCCTGACGAAACGTCCCTTCGCATTTCGGCACGACTCCCGCCGTGTGAATCGTGCTAAACTTGGAAGGGGACCGCACCTTCCTCGTGACGTCACTGTCGGGGAAACCCGAGTCTTAGGGTCGACGAGAATGCACCTATTCGTGGCGATTTGCAGGCTGGGGAAAAAAAAAATTGCACGGACGAGTGCATTTGGTAGATCGATCTCGTGGCAAAAGGAACGGGATGTTCCTCCCTTGGCAATAATGATCCGTATAAAACGTTTTGGAGGTTTTGCCACCTTTTTTCCTAAGGGGGAAGTCATTTTTTCACGTCCTCGGATTCATTTAGGTTCGGGGCCTGATATATTGTAGTTGTGCGTGTCTCAATTCCCACTCTTCGGTCGGTAATATTTGTTTCGCAGAGGACCGATGGAGCCCAGTCTCTGACATGGGTCCACAGCCGATGATGGGACTCATGGCCTCGAACCTCTTTCGTCTTCTCTCGTGTGTCAGGGCATAGATTCTCCTCCGTTTGCATCACGAGCAACGCGGATTTTAGCTTAACGCAATGATATGCCATTCTGCAGATGCCAGTCGAGTAATTCAATGACATAAGCTGAGGACGAATGGCGCAATGAAGCATCATTGCACGGTTGTGGTTTCTTCCCCCCGATCGACTGGGCGTTAGAACGATAGGATTTTGGCTATGTGATTGCCAGCGCTGAGAATTTATTGGTATCTTCTCTGTTAACTGTCCGTGATTTTTCCCATCGACGCATTCATGCGGTCCCCAACGACATCACCGTCGCCTAGGCATGGATCCCCACC